AACATCGTTCATAAAAATCGAAAACCAATTCACCAAATTGTGTATCCTAGTGGAGTCTACTTGTGTGCAAAGTTATATTGAAATCGGACCAAAACTGTAGGAGGAGTAGCATTCTGAAAGCATTTCACAGAAATTTCTATTTTTAGTAACCACGGCAACACCGTTCATCGAAATCAAAAACCGATGCACAGAATTATGCATCTTAGTATAGTCTATTTGGTCCAAAGTTATATTGAAATCAGACCAAAACTGTAGGAGGAGTAGCATTTTGAAAGCATTTCACAGAAATTTGTATTTTTAGTAACTCCTTAATTAAGGAGTTTTTTTTAGTCATGAACCCCGGGGTAGGTTTGGGCCACAATGGCCGATGAAAGTTTTACATGGGAATATATAGGAATAAAAATCTTAACAAGAACCACTAGGGCAGGAAAGATGAAACTCATGTAGAATCATCCTCAGGTAGTGTTTATTCAAAATTTGTTCAAATTGTACGGGTCAGAGTGGGGCTACAGTGGGGAATCAAAGTTTTACACAGAAATTATATAAAGTAATTTTTAGCTCTACTGGTCAGAGACCAGAAGAGCTTATGCAATAGTAATGCGTCCGGCGTCCGTCCGTCTGTCTGTAAACAATTTTTTTCAAATTGCTACTCCTCCTACAGTTTTGGTCTGATTTCAATATAACTATGCACACAAGTAAAATTACACTAAGATACATAATTCTGTGTATCGGTTTTTGATTTCAATGAACGGTGTTGCCGTTGTTACCAAAAACAGAAATTTATGTGAAAATCATTCAAAATGCTACTTCCCCTACAGTTTTGATCTGAATTCAATATAACTTGGCACACAAGTAGACTACACTAAGATACATAGAACGGTGTTGCCTTGTTACTAAAAATAGAATTTAAAAAAAAAAATACATTCAAAATGCTACTTCTCTTACAATTTTGATCTGAATTCAATGTAACTTGGCACACAAGTAGACTACACTTGGACACATAATTCTATATATCGGTTTTTGATTTCAATGAACAGTGTTGCTGTCGTTACTAAAAATAGAATTTTTTAAAAATACATTCAAAATGCTATTCCTCTTACAGTTTTGATCTGAATTCAATATAACTTTGTTCACAAGTAGACTACACTAAGATTCATAATTCTATTTATCGGTTTTTGATTTCAATGAACGGTGTTGCCGTTGTTACTAAAAATAGAATTTTTTTTGAAATACATACAAAATGCTACTTCTCCTACAGTTTTGATGTGATTTCAATATAACTTGGCACACAAGTAGACTACACTAAGATACATAATTCTGTGTATTGGTTTTTGATTAATGGTGTTGCCTTGGTTACTAAAAATAAAAATATCTGTGAAATACTTTTGAAATGCTACTCCAAATACAGTTTGAGTCTGATTATAACATAATTTGGCATGCAAACAGACTACACTGAGATACATAATTAATAATTTTGTGTTTTTGATTTTGATAATATATGTTTCCATAGTAATTTAAATTGAAAATTCAGTAATATTTCATTAAAAGCTACTCCTACAGCTGTAGTCTTATTGCAATCTTGCCTCAAAAAGAGAATTATTCAAGGATCATTATTCTATTGATTGCTTTTGTAAAGTTTTAAGTCCCAACTGCTACTTTTCTTTTCTTTATTATACCGGTAAGTACAAACCAGTAGAGCTACAGTCTTGACAGAGACTTCTGGTTTTTAAATCTCAAGAAAAGCAAAGTCATGTTTAGCGATAATTATATGGAAGCATTTAAGGTCTTCCTCACAATTTTAATGGTTCAAAAGTACAAAAACTGCACGTATTCTCAAAAGATTTAGTTCAAATTTAACTTTTACTGCAAAAATGTATCTAGGTTGCCATATGAATTAAGATGGGAGACATATATTAATAGACGTATATGTCAACATAAAGAAAAATCGTACATTTTTTTGTAAATAATATTACAAAAAATATGTTAAAACTGGTTTAAACGCATAATTCTGATGCTGGATGTGCAGTACTTGCTACTTATCAGATACTTTTGAATTGTAATTTTCTGGGAAACTATTATACGTTAGATGTTCATTAAAGAAAATGGCTGAAAGAAGATCTCTGAGAAGGAGTTATTGCCCTTGTCAACATCTTTTTAGTCTGAATAATTGATTAAATAAAGAAAATATACATTTTTTGAATTCTTTTATTTAAAGATATTTATCATTACACCAATTGAGAGTATTCTTATTGTTCTATTGGGTATGAATTTTAATTAATAACATTTTTTATAAAAATCTATTGACATCATAGGTGGATGGAAATACCTTAATAAAACAAAACATTTAGAATTCAACGAAACACAGTTGTTCCATTGGAAAAAGGTGTCAACTAAGTCAATAAGCATGATAGCCAACTTTCAAAAAAAGTTAGACTTGACCTACAGTGCGAAATTATTAATCGTTTTCTGTCTCTGAATATTTCCAAACCGTGTAAAAATTAATACAGTTTGCAAAGTAAATACGATTACAGGACAAACAATTCCAAGTCTGTCTGTAAGCAATTTTTCAAAACGCTACTCCTCCTACAGTTTTAGTCTGATTTCAGTATTACTTGGCACGCAAGTAGACTATACTAAGATATATAAAATAGTGCATCGGTTTTTGATTTCGATGAACGGTGTTGCCATGGTTACTAAGAGTAGAATTTTCTGTGAAATTCCTTTAAAACGCTACTCCTTGTACAGTTTTGGTCTGATTCCAATATAACTTGGCACACAAGTAGACTACACAAAGATACAGAGGAAAGTGCATAGGGTTTTGATTTCGATGAACAGTATTGCCATGGTTACTAAAAAGAGAATTTTCTGTGAAATTCCTTTAAAACGTACTCCTTGTACAGTTTTGGTCTGATTTCAATATAACTTGGCACACAAGTAGACTACACTAAGATACATAAAGTAGTGCATCGGTTTTTAATTTCGATGAACAGTGTTGCCATTGTTACTAAAAATAGAAATGTCTGTGAAATTCCTTTAAAACGCTATTCCTTCTACAGTTTTGGTCTGATGGCAATGACTTCTTTTCTCATCCTTTGTTATAAGTACAAACCAGTAGAGCTACAGTCTCGACAGAGACTTCTGGTTACTGTATGTTGCGTGGCATTTACCCCCGGGATAATTGTTCGAAGACAGCACAATATCAGTGAATATGATTGGTTGTACATTGTTTAACGTCCCTTCTCGAGAATTTTTCACTAATATGGAGACGCCACCACTTGCTGGTGGAGAGCTGCAAATTTTGTCCTTTACTCGGCACTCGCGAAGAGGGATCTTAATCGTGCCTACACCTACTGCGACACGGGACCTCGGTTTATACGGTCTCATCCGATGGACCGGTCTCCACGCCCCACAGTGGGATTCGAACCCGCGACGTAAGGATTGACTCCTCACTTCTCGAGTCTAGAGCAGACGCTCTAACCACTGCGCCACGCGAGCGACCTACATCAGTGAATAGAATCACTGTTAATTACTTTAATAGAGAAAATACATGTAAATAACACGTTCAGTTAATTTATCTTGGCCTTTTAAAATGTAAAGAATACTAGTATTAATTTTACAAATTGAGTAAAATATTGTAAATTTCTATTTTTAAATTTAGATCTAAGGGCAGATCACTCTTAACTGCAGAAAAATTAAATACCTTAGAATCAGAGCTCTTTAGTGTGCAGTGTAGAGAGGGTTCTTAAGAGAACACCACACAACAACTAATGAAAGTCCTTAACATAGTGATAACTTTCACTGGAAATTTGACAGTGTCAGAAACTCATTTTTCTTCACTGTTTTTTCATGCAGTCATAGGCGTCGGAAGCAAATTGAAAATGGGGTGTCTAATTGAAAGTAGAGGTGGGGGCTTAACCAACCAAAAAAAGGTAAACCTCAATTTTCAACATCTATATTATGTCTGCCTTTGCAAAAACGGGGGGGGGGGGGGGGGCAAGACACCCAACCTGGTTCCGACGCCCATGTTTATTAATAATTTATTTAATATTTTAATTTTTTTTTTACATCAAAATTTTAAGACAATAAATTAAATAAGATTTTCAATGCTTTTACCAAGGAGCGTAGTAATAGATAACACCATATGTAAGCTATTATTGAAAAATATTTAGCCTGAAACTTGAAAATAAAATATACATATTTGTATGAAATATATGGAGATAAAGAACATTATCCCGTCCGACAAATTAGACAAATAAATTATTATTATTATTATTAAAACAAATAAATCAAGAGCAGAGCACACAGCAATTCTGAAACATCAGAGATGGGTTCGGGCGCTATGGAAGAGTAAGCATTCCCTGCCGACCGGTCACACCCGTTGTGTGCTCCTTGTCATGATCAGGAATCAGTCGACAATGTAGGGTGTAATTTATTGCCTAATAAAAGTATGAAAAACGTCAGTCAGCATTTGACTCTATGATGGATTGTATTTCCTGGTCATTTTATCGAGAAATATATTCTTCATTCTATCCTATTTGTGTACAAGTTTAAGTTACATGTAATCTAGATTCACATTTAAATCCCCAAAACATTTACTAAGTAGTTCTAATAAAAAGACCACATTTTCATCCCTTGAATGGAGTCTATACAGAGATTGAAGTTTTACCTATTTGCCCTACAACACCAGATGGCTGTCAGATGCTCATTAAAGAGAAATTAAGTTATTATTACACATGTACCAGTGGCGTAGCATCGTTTTTGAAAGTGGGGGGGGGGGCAGCCAGAGAAAAAAATTTTTTTACTTACCTGAAAATTTGACAAGCAAAAAAAAAAAAGGGGGGAAAAAGTTGCACAAAGTCGAAAATCCTATTTCGTGAGGGGGGGGGGGGGGGGCACCAATAAACTGTATAGCAATCTTAAGAAATGAATACATTGATAAAGGGCATGGTTTTAAAGTGGCACCAAAAACGATTCCAAGAAAACTTCTCAAGGATTTTACAATGAATTTTCGGCTGCCAGTATCGGATTATTACTTTAATAATCCATACTTTGCCCAAAAGTCTAGAACGCCAGTATGGACAAAAGCAAGCGTAGAACAAATGGTCTCTTTGGCAAAGAGAGGGGCTTTAGGAGGAAATTATGGAAGTTCCGAAACAAACGCGTTAAGAGATGGAATGCAGCATGCTCCTGGCATCAAAGGTGGGCGTGTCTTAGTCATAGGGTCTGAGAATCCATGGGTTGAGGCATGCGTATTGGAGGCTGGCGCGAATGAAGTTGTTACTCTTGAATATGGAGAAATTAAATCACTACATCCGCAAATTAAAACTTTCACTCCTAGAGAATTTAGCAAGGCTTTTTTGAACAATAAACTTGGTAAATTTGATGCTGTCGTAACATTCAGTTCTGTGGAACATTCTGGACTAGGTAGATATGGCGATGGACTTAATCCTTGGGGAGATATCATAGCAATCGCCAGGGCATGGTGTGTTACACAGAGAGGGGGATCGCTGACTATAGGAGTAACGTACGATAATGAAAAAGACTATATTAGATATAATAGTGAGCGATGGTATGGGAAAATAAGATACCCATATCTCGCAACTAATTGGAAACAACACTACAGAGGGAATGGACTTCAGAGAATCCATGTGTTCACAAAACCATAAATCTAGGCAATAGGAACATCATTTTGTTAACTGATTCCAAAGTAGAATTTTTCATGCATGCGTATGTACCATGTTTGTTCAGTTCATTTGACTTGGAAGATTTTTTACGAAAAGGATAATAACAATGCTCCTGAGTACTACCTGGCTATTTAATTAAACAAAGTGCATGGTTATGATAAGCATTGATGCCTTTTCCAAAAATTAAATTTCATGGCTTCTGGGTAGGGGGTTCTGGTTTTAGGGCTTGGCTATATTGATTATATAGTGAAAATGCATCAATTCTTTGAAAATCTTCTCTGCTCCTGGGTTTTATTCAAACAAACTAAGTGCATGGTAATAATGAACAAAGATGCCTTTTCTAGAATTTAGAATTTCCAAGGTCATGGGGTTCTGGAGTTAGAGGCGGGGCTTAAATAGTAAAAATTCTTTGAGAATCTTCTCTGCTCCTAGGTATTATTTAAACAAACTAAATGCATGGTTATGATAATCACCGATGCTTTTGCCAAAATTGTGAATTCCATGTCCCCTGATTATTTGGTGAAAATACATGAATTCTTTGAAAATCTTCTTCTCTGCTATTGGGTATTATTTAAACAATATAAGTGCATGGTTGTAATGCACAAGGAGGGTTATGCCCAATTTTGAAATTCGTGGTCCGAGGGTTGGGAGGGGGGCCTCTACTGATTATACAGTGGAAAAGCAATTTTAAAAAAACCCTTATCTACTTTTGAGTATTATCTAAACAAACTTGGTGTATAGATATGATGAACAAGAGTACTTCTTGCAGAATTGTGACTCCTAAGTCAGATGTTCTACTGTAAGGGTAGGACTCTATTCATAATATAGTTAAAATGCATTAATTCTGTCTGCTCCTGGTGTTAACCAGGTAAACAAATTAGTAGTTTTGATTTTTTTTATTGTGGTTCCAAGATTTAAACTTTTGGCGTTTCTCTGGGCATTAGTTAAAAGAAAATAATGCTAGCTAATTTATTGTATAATACAAAAAGTACTTTCATAGTTTTAATGATCAAGTAGACTTGTTAATTATGATAGAATAAAAATAAGACAAAAATAATTTATTAAATGTTCTTTAAAGTCCAAGGGTCTAAGCTATAGTTAAAAGTCACTATATGGGGGTAAGTAGTACAGAATAACTAATATTTTGTTAATGGTCTTCATGGTGATTGTGCTAAACAGGGGGTAGATTAGAATTTTTAAAATGTATGTGTTGTTACTTTTGACTTATTTAATTGATTTGTTTTAGCTTCATCTATAAGTTAACTTTAATATCTATTGATCCTCTAAATTGTTGTATAATACTCAGGGGATCGTAAAGGCCTTTGGGCCTCTTGATTGATTGATTATATGCTGTTTAACGTCCCTCTCCAGAATATTTAACTGATATGGAGACGTCACCATTGCCGGTGAAGGGCTGCAAATTTAGGCCTATGCTCGGCACTTGCGGCCTTTGAGCAGGGAGGGATCTTTGCTTCGTGCCACACCTGCTGTGACACGGGACCTCGGTTTATACGGTCTCATCCGAAGGACCGCCCCATTTAGTCGCCTTTTACGACAAGCAAGGGGTACTGAGGACCTATTCTTACCCGGATTCCCCACGGAGTTTGGGAACTTTTTCGTTTTCAAGACATAATATTTTTACTTTAAAAATGTTCAAAAATGAACCCCCCAGCTTTTTGTTAATGTTATTAATGTAAGAGTTGCGTAAAAAATAGTCTTGAAAGATGTTGGAGTTAGATTGTATCTCCCCTCTAGATCTCGAATCAAACAATTGTCTTTTTTCGCTTATCAAATTCTTTTTCATGTATGTTTAATTCTCTCTCAATCCCCCCTTTTCAAATTTGATTCTACTTCACTACTGTGTCAGTGATTTTTGTGAATAAGAGACTGAATATGACTAATTCAACTTAATTTTAAATTTA